ATTTCCTACTAGCAAAACAAAATCTTGAGACCTGGCTTGTCGCTGTAAATCCTATTAACGTACTGATTGGAGTCGGAAACCTTTTAAAGTGCTCAGGGGATGATAAATCCGCCCTGTTTCTCATTGCCCAGGCCCTGACAGGTGCGTTGGGCGTGTGGGGCTGCCAGGCGGCAGGGGATGAGCAAAGCCATGGGATGCTCTGGGGAGGGCTGGCCGGCGTGCAGGGCACGGTGTGGGCGCGAGAAAAGCTGCTTCTCTTTGCCCGGCGGCAGTCGAGCACCGCAGGGTTCCTGGTAGGCGACTCGTGCCAGCGACCGCAAAGCAAATAAATAGCGACGGATCATCCGGCGGGTCTCTGGGAATAAACCCAGGAATAAACCCAGGATTCCCATCTCCCAGCCCTTTGCGCTGCGCTCTCTGCTTTTCTTTTAAATCTGCATCACGCTCGAGTAATAAACCCAAAGGAAATGGGAAAAAGCAGACAAGGCAAAATGGCTTTATCTTGTTCTCCCGCCCCCTCTCCCTGTGCAGTAGGGTTGATTCTCTCTGGTTTTCTCTCCATCCCTTCCCTCTTCTCTGCAGGGTTTCCAAATCCCCAAAGGCTGGAGCGTCATGTACAGCATCCGGGACACCCACGACACCGCCCCCGTCTTCAAGGACGTGGATGTCTTCGACCCCGATCGCTTTGGGCAGGGTCGAAGCGAAGACAAGGATGGCAGGTTCCACTAGCCGCTTCGAGCTCGCCACCAGGACTTTCCCTAAAATCACCCTGGTGCCTGTGGTCCACCCAGTCGACGGACTCAAGGTCAAATTTTTCGGACTGGATTCCAACCAGAATGAGATCCTGACGGGGACAGATGCCATGCTGGGGGCGACGGTGTAAAGCCCACGCCGGCAGCACGAGGGACGGGTGGCCGGGGGAAGGAGGGGGGGGGTGGGGGCAAGGGGACGAACAGAAGGGGAGAAGAGAGGGATGAGAAGCTTCTCCACAACGCTCGCTTCGCAGAGCCTCCGGGTCGGGACCGCTTTCTCCACCGGTGAAGCTGGC